GGCCCGATTTTCAGTGAAAGCGCGAGATCGTCTTGGTGTCCTGGAATTTGGGACTACGTGGTTGATTGGGATGTTAAAAGATGCGCCTGAACGAGGGCTACACAATACAAAAAAATATTGAAAACAAGGTTTTTTTTAAATCGAAAAAAATTTAAAAATGCGGTCACTTTTCGCTCGGTTTCTGTCAGAAAAAAAATCATATCTCGAAATGAAATAAGATAATGAAAAAATAAAAAAAACTCTTAGAGATATGACTTTAGACTACATTTAAAAAAATATTGGAGGTTCGTATCACCGATGGTTTATTCAAAAGTTGTACCTTTGTGACGCTGAGTTTACGCGAGGAGAGTGCGTGAGCGCGATAATGACGTGAAATGATTTTGTTTTTGAACCGAAGTGATTCTTTGTGAATAAGTAAATATGTATTTAAACCAATAACTAACTAATATCCGATGATGATGATGATGATGTTCTCCCTAGCCGATTCCGGCCACGGCGGCCAATCTCATTAAGACTAGCCAACTGCGCAGCAGATATTATAGTGCACAAGTGTTCGCGCAGACACAAGTGCACTCTCTATTCCTGTCACTCTCATACTCCGGTGGGACGACTACTCGACACGACCGGTGAGAGTTAAAGCGCAGGACCGACGGCTTTACGTGCTCTCCGAGGCACACCGCCATCGCATCGGTGAAACACCGCCAACTTCCGAACTCCGGGCTGTTACTGAGACTTATTATACAGAAAGACTCAACAACTAAACTTGGCCCGACCCGGGACTCGAACCCAGGACCTCCGAGTGTGCAGCCGTACATGCTAGCCACTACACCACCGAGGCAGTTAACTAATATCTATACATATAATAAAACAGTAACTAAGCGAAATTTATACGTGAAATATTATTTCAAAACAATGACTGTAATGTATTGTGCCCTACAGACCCCAAAACAATGATTATGAAAAAAATTATCTTTCTGTATGTCTGTTTGTCTATTTGGGTGTGCGCGTTTCACGAATAAAGTACTGAACCGATTTTAACTGAATTTTGTGTACTGATAACGTATTACTCGGGTTAGGATATTTAAAACATCTTTTGAGGAGAGGAGCGGGACGGAGAGGAGTGAGAAGAGAGGAGCCTGTTGTTGAGATTTGCCATGTCTTTTGCAGTTCTTTTTCGCAAATCTTTTTCGCCTGACTACTGCGCTTGTCTTCTTCGCTTGTCTGCTTCACCTGTCTTCTCCTTTCCTCTCCTCTCATCCCCTCTCCGCTCCTCTCCTCCCCCTTTTCTCTTTAAAATAACAAACAAACATTTATATTATATAGTTCTGCTAGTAATTAATATGTCAAAAATTTAATTCAGTTCATTTGGCAGATTCATTTTCAATGTACTCTAAGGTCGTGGCAGACACGAGTACTGTGGATTTTTTTCTATTACCATTGAAGAAGTGTACTTTAGGTCAAATTTGTATAAACTGATTACACCAATGTATTTTTCGGGAAAAAACAATGTGGTTCCTAAGGTATCTTTATATTTTTAATTTGACGCTTATTTCTTATACAATATCGCTGTAAACATTCCAAGTTTGTAATTTGACGAGTCGTGAAAAAATACTAAAAGTTGGAATTCACGTAAAGTACAACAGCGCTTTTATATTTTTTTACCGTAGAATCTATTTATGTTATTATTTTTTCAAATTTATCGATATTTTATTAGTTTTTGATCGATTTTGGAGTTAAATTTATTGATTTTTTCTGAAAAAATTGATTTTAAGGTAAAAAGAAATGAAATTTATTCCTAGTCTAATCTTGTTTATTCATTAGTAAAAATATTATTTAAAAAAATTAAGTTGATATTTACAAATTTTAGTCGTACTTTTGTTAAAAACTGAAAAAATGTAAAAAATAAAATCCTCATAACCACCTGTATGTTTGTAGGCGATATGCATTTCCCAATGTAAAAAAAAAGTATGTAATCCTATTAGAGTTCTATTTTATCGAGTGTTTGGAAATTTAATTAAACTATAATATGCATGTGATATTTTATTATAAATCATTGTACAAATTATAATTAATAAAGTTATATATTAAGGCACAAATAGGAAAAATCTCCGAAGACTCCAGATTTCTCCTTCTTTCTCTTCTTAACTTCTTCTTTTTCTTATTGTCATCTGAAATAAGAAATAAAATACATTATAATTAAATAATTACTTGTAATCTATACTAATATTATAAAGCAAAATAGTTTATTTGTGTTTTTTTAAATACTTCTTATAGTCTACTAGCTGACAAGATTTGATTTGATGTTGACTGATTGGTAAAATTGTAACTGATCGCTGTCTGTATATGGAAGATATTTAAGAAAAACTATTATTGAAGGTCTTTTTTAACGCAATAGAACCCAAAACAATGATTTTTAGATTTTTTTGTCTGTTTGTCCGTGCGTTTGTACGCCCTTATCTCAGGAACGGCTTAACCAATTTGGATACAGTTTGCACTAATGTAGTATTTTAGTAAGCTTCACTTAACATTTAGTATTTTATATTACAATCGGTATATAAATAAAAAAGTTATGTCAATTTAAAGAATCACCTAGGGATGAACCCGACTAAAGCGAGGGTGAGTGGCTACTCAGGAATAGGCGGCTACTTATGGGGATGAGGCAAGGATGTCATTCTACAATAGTTATAGAATAGAAATCTATAGGAGATTTGGTAGTGACATATGTATTATGATTTTATGACATATTATCTATTAAATTTGTCATGTCATTATATCCATTTTTTATTTTTATTCTTAACGATTGTACAATTGCACCTTCTCTAAGATCTTTTTTAGTTTTTTCTCTATCTATAATTATATAGCGATAAGGCCTCATACTATTCTATTTTTTTTCTATAATCTATTTCGTCCCATTAACACATATTAGGTTATTTAACTTAGCTTTAGTATACAAAAAAAGAAAATATATGAAGTTTGCAATAACTCTTAACAAATAAATGTTCGTGTCAATTACAAATTACTCCTAATCAGTCACGGCCATTATCTTGGAAACAGGCGCAAATAAGGCAAGTTCAAAGTTTACCGAGCGATAATAGGGTAAATGCTCTTTGTAGGTAAACAGTGTTCATTGTGGCAACAAAATTTCTTAAAATTATTAAAATCAAATGAAAATTATAACTTTATTCAAGTACTTTTTAAGTTTAACGGCGGTTCCCAATAATCTATCTACGACGACACGTTTGGTTCAATTTGTAGTGACCCTACTTGCTGTGCCAGCGGTCGCAGGTTCGAGTCTCGCTGGGGTTAACTTACTATGGAACAAGATGGTGCTGTGTTAATGTCCCAACGTATTTATTTATCTGCTTCTTTACTAGAGATAGAAATTTGGCATAAGCTCCACAAATTATATGAAATTCTTATCGTTAGTACGGAAAGTCAAAGATAGATAAGTTATTGGGTATCACCGTAGTTGAATAAAGTTGATTATCTATTCAATATGGATCTATAGCATTTTTTTATATACATCGGTTTATAATTGGCAAACATATTATGTACCTAATATACAAAAAAACTTATTTATGAAGTTGAAAATAGAATGGAGATGAATTTATCTCCCAAAAATATTACGATTCTTCAGAAATCATCGGGATCTCGACTGCTTGTGAAAATTTACTTATAAAATTTTAAATTAGATAAAAAAATACTTTAACGTAAGAATATGTTGGGACATTAACACACAGCACCACTTAGTTCCATGGTAAGCTACGAGGTTTGTCTTATGGATACCAGATAGTTGATACATTACACATAATAATAAAACTTTAAGTACATACATATTACAAATATAAACACCCATAACAGGAGTACAAACATTCGTGTTCATAAAAGAACGCCCTTAGCGGGACTGGAACACGGCAAGTAGGGTCACTACAAACTGAATGTAACCAGCTTTTTTATAAAACCCATAATAATAATCTTGAAATTTCCTGTGTAAGATCTTTCGTTCACTAATAATATATTTTGAATATTAATATCTAAATAAACACTGGATCAAAAGTATAAATGATTTCGCTATATACTTATTATGTATAATGGAGATTGAGTAATTATTCACAGTATTGTAAAACATAAAAAATACTCGCAGTTTAAAAAAATGTGAGATACGTATGAGGTTATCTTATCTTGACTAAACTTTTAAATTTTTCCTTACATATATTTTTACTGAACGAATACCTAGTACTGTGATGTGTTTGTCATGAACTTGGATCAGAAATTCAACTCAAAAAAATTGTTATACTTTCTAAGATTTACGTGAATATTTGACATCCATACTAATATTATAAATGTGACAGTATGTTTTTTCGTTAGTTTGTTTATTCGGTTGTTTTTTTGTCCTTCTTTCACGTCGAAACGGAATGACGGATTGGCGTGATTTTTTGTGTGGAGATAGTTGGAGGGCTGGAGAGTGACATAGGCTCAAAAATCAAAAAAATCCATGGAAAAATCCGAGATAGCTTTATTTCAAATATAAAATATATGAATAAGTCTTAGATTTAATTAATTATGTAAATTAAGAGGACACAAGTCCTCGCGTTGTACTCTCAAGGATAACAATGATAGTGCCTTTATCTCGAGCTTTTGTTATATAGAACAATAATGTTTGTTGGGGGTAAATTTTATTATTATATTATTGGTTTTGATAATAACATATGTAACACTTTCTTATATTTACGCGAATATTTGACATTTTAAATAAAACTATCTTTTCGGATTTTTTCGCGGACTAGTTTTGATTTTTAGTACCCGACGTTTCGAATGCTAATCCGTCCCGCAAGATCCCGTCATATATATATCCCGCTGTTTACAGCGATCATGTTCACGGGAGAGACTGAGGTGTTAGATGTCTTAAAGGCATTTTATAGTGCTGGTATAGACAGCCGACCTACAAATAACAAAATGAATTCATAAAATTTTTAAAATACTTTTTTTTTACTTTGCTATACGTGTCTTCTTTTTTCATGTTTCAAGCAGCATGTAGCTAGGAAGTTACCGACTCTGAAAATCAAAATTATACATTATATTAACGTTAGTAACGTATCATATTGTAATAATATAAAAAAAAAACATTTAATAATATTACAGAAAATTAAAAAAAAATGATCATTCAATCAGGATAAAAAATGTAAACTAAAAAGGTATTTTTGGAAGTAATATTAAAATAGTCTTAAAAGTGTTACACTTTATTTAGATTTAGGTATTCATTAGCTTTTATGCGATAATCATGTAATTATTGTTAAAATAACAAAATATTCTTATTTTTTTTTATTTGCAGACGCCATCTATCTAACTATACATATAACAAAATTCTAACTGAGTCGAATCTGTACATTAAATATATTTTTTGGAAGATCTTATTGAAATAGTCATTATTATCGATACCGAGGCCGAATCCTTAGTTTTTGGAATTGTCTGGGAACGTATCATAAAAAAGCCACTAAACAGGTAGTAGTCGTTAGTAGTTTATTAGAGAAGGAGTGCAGAATGCTAATATTTTATTAAAATTATGCATAAAAAATACATTAAAAAAATAAAAAAAACATTACGCACATTATCATGTATTTGACACGCATATATACTCTTTTGTTTCTTGTTAAAGTCTGTGGTCAAATTGAGAATAGATTAATATTGTTTGTTATTTGTTTCAAAATTATTTTGGATTTTATAGGCTATTTAATATTAGCGATTTACCTTCGCTTCGCGCTGGTTCGTCCCTACGTTGAATCCCATACAGACTTTCAATCCCCTTTTTACCCCTTTAGGGGATGATTTCCAGGATAAAAAGTATCTTATATCCTTCCCAAGGTCTCAAACTATCTTCTTACCAAATTTCATTTAAATAGGTTCAGTAGATCCAGAGATTATCCTCAACTAAGTCACAAACTCACAAACTTTACCTCTTTATAATATTAGTATAGATTTATTATTTATATAAATTTAAAAAAAGAATCTCAATGTCGATCAAACTTAATGCATTATGGTTCATATTGAAACACGAGGCGATCACTAGTTAGTATAGATACATAAAAAGGTACTACGAAATCGAAAATATTTAAAAGAAATTACGTTTCAAATGCTTTACAGCAAACAGGGTCACAGAACAGACTAAAGTTTAGATGTCTTAAGTCTCCAAAGCATTAGAAACGCTGGAGACTAAAATAAAATCCAAAGAAATAGTTTCATTTAAAGAGTACTGCTTTTAGGAATTCGTTTGAAAGTTGGAAATTATTTAATGTATAAATTACCAATGATACACCTCTGCTTGATATAGAACAATTACTATTCGGCGAAAAATGTAGATTTCACGAATGCAATTTATTTTTCTCACCAAATCGAAACTGAGAAAATCATGAATCCTTATAACATTTCAATAATTTTTCCCTGTAATTTTACGTTCGCTATCATATCATAAAAGATAAAACTAAGAATTTATTTTTGAGTGGTTTTCTTTAACAGTATTATTGTGATGAAAAACGGGATATTTAACATGTGTAACACTTAGGTACTTTTGAGAGTTCCCAATATTTCGGCAAATTACAACATAACAATTTACAAACGCTATGGTCATGAGCGCACGGGGTATTGTTACAGTGCCGAAAACTCTTAAAACTGGAACTCTCAAAAGTAAGTTCTATACAAGGTAAATATTCCGTTTTATGTCATAATAATATTGTCAGTGACCATGAAAGTTCAAAGATTTCTATAACACTAGCGGCTCACCCTCGCTTCGCTCGGGTTCGCCTCTAGAAAAACACTAATAGAGATCTATTAGTTCCCACGGGAACTATTCATTTTTCCGGGATGAAAAGTAACCTATTGTATGACCAGCAATATAAGGTATCAGAAGGTTAAATTTTACTAAATTAGGTGCATAAGTTGTTGTGTACTAAGCTGTATAAAATACTATAGTTTTTTAACTATCCCACGGGAACTCTGTGATTTTCTGGGATAAAAAGTATCTAAGATATTGACCGGGGATATAAGGTACTACTATGCAAAATTTCATTTAAATCGGTCCGACAGTTTCGGAGATTAGCCCGTACAAACATACAAACTGACAAACAGACATACAGGCAAACAGACAAAACTTTTAATAACTATAGTTTTGGGGTCTATACAGTGTGTATAATACGTTACAAACATACAAAAACAGATCTATCCCACGGAAACCGTTCATTTTTCTGGGATGAAAAGAAACCTATTGTTTGACCAGCAATATAAGGTATCAGAATGTTAAATTTTACTAAATTAGGTGCATAAGTTGTTGTGTACTAAGCTGTATAATATACTATAGTTTTTTAACTATCCCACGGGAACTTTTTGATTTTTCGGGATAAAAAGTATCTAAGATGTTGCCCGGGGATATAAGGTACCACTATGCAAAATTTCATTAAAATCGGTCCTATAGATTCTGAGATTAGCCCGTAAAAACAGACAAAGAGACAGAAAAAACAAATTTGAAAAAAATCTGGATTTGTTCTATTTGTCTTCTTACACCCCCCTGACTCGGTTTTTAGCATTTTTTTGTTATGTACAGACATTCGACCTCTACTGTTTTATTATAGTATAGATAGATTTTCTTAATTAAATTCAATTTAAACCTACCAGTTAGGATTAACTAACTTAGAAAACACCTAAACATCGAAATCCTAATAAAATTATACATTTTTTTATAAACTAATTGATTATCAGTACCCACAACTGCATTTTTATTGATTGAAAATTAATTTTATTTTTTTGACGACACGTTTTTACTGACCCTACTTGCTGTGCCAGCGTTTTTGTGTGAAGAGCACGAATGTTTGTACTCCAGTCATGGCTGTTTATATTTATAATATGTACATATGTATTTAAAGTTATATTATTATGTGTAGTGTTATATTATTATGTATCAACTATCTGGTATCCATAACACAAACCTCGCAGCTTACCACGGTACTAGATGGTGCTGTGTGTTAATGTACCAACATATTAATTTATTTTATGTATTTTATTTACGCAAAATCTATTACATACACAGATTTACAACAATTTTATTTAACAATAATTCAAAAATAATTAAGATAGTAATATTGTCTTAATGTATTATTTATTTGCATCCACTTCATCTAAAAATTCTTGGTTTTATGATGAATTTCATTGCTATGAAATGGGTTTAGTTTTTTTACTGATATTTTTTAAAGCGACGGTTTATTTGCTTTATAAGCGTTGCGCGTAAAGTACCTTCTTATAAACTTTAAAATAAAAATAATAGCTATAACAACATTAAACGAAAATAAGAATAAAAAATATTAAAAAAATGTCGATGAGATACCTACATATATACTAATATTATAAAGAGACAGACTTTGTTTGTTTGAGCGCGCTAATCTCAGGAAGTATTAATCCGAATTAATCCGATTTGAAAAATTCTTTTTGTATTAGATAGCCCGTTTATTTAGGAAGGCTATATCATAATACTATATATCTTAGTCTATCTATTGGATACTAACCGTTAAGACGTACCTAGGGACGAACCCGAAAGCAAGGGTGAGTCGCTAGTATGGACGTATTATACAGTTTCACAAATTTAAAGTGATAGATACTTATTATAAAATAAAACTATCTTTTCGGATTATTTCGCGGATTTATTTTGATTTTTGGTTTTCGACGTTTCGAATGCTTTACAGCAATCATGGTCACGGGAGAGACTGAGGTTTTAGACATCTCAAAAGCGTTATATACTTGTACTTCACTGAAAATTGACTTAAAAGTTAAATTCAATAAAAACATTAAAAATATTATCTGTTGAAGCATGCTTAAACATAGTGCTAATCGAGAAATATATGAAGAAACAAAAATATAGTAATTAATCACATTTATTATATCTAAATTTATAAACATTTTAAACTATTTAAAAATCAAAGGTCATTGTACAGTCTGGGCATGTCAATACACTATAGACCAAGCGGCAGTCGCTGTTTCTCCTTTCTCTTCAAAATTTACTGCTCGAAAACCCCGGAACGTATTATTTTAGGTCTTTAAAAGTTCCAATTTACGATTTTCGACGCCCGACGCATTTATCTAAATGTTTTTAGTTTAGGGGTTGCAGTAAAAAATTCTTTTACGCAAAGTTAAGAAATAAAAATTTATTTATATGTTGAATGTTAATTTAAAATTCTTTCATTATTATTAGTTTTATTCTTTTGTGTATGTTATTAACATTATGTTTTTTAATATTGTTTTCATTAATAACAAACTACTATGGCATAATTACGTAATATACATATTTCACATTTTTATATAATACGTTAATAACGTTTTTAATTCAATTGGAAAACGTATTTTATTCGAAATTTAATATTATTATTATAAGCTGTTACAAAAATTTAAATTACCCCTAAACATTTTTAGATGAATTTCTTTTTTTGTTCCACGCATAGCCAAATGCAATTCAGTGATTTATCTTTTTAATTCGAGTCCGACGTAAATGGCCGAGAAGCCGTTATACGTCCACATTAATAGGAGCGATTCAACAATAATGCCAGTGCAGTTTTAACTTTAAAATTTTATTGTCTACTAAAGGCACAATTTTGATATACGATCTATAATTAAAAAGTTTAGTGGAGTAATAAAATCTAGTTTCGATATAATTATCTAATAGGAAAGTATTTTATTGCAATAACTGTTTGAAACAATATCAGCTTTCTACTACTTCTTATATATATTTTTTATTTTTATAAATATAATAAACTAGCGACTTACACTAGCTTCGCTCGGGCACGTCCTCAGGTAACTAAATGTAACCTATGTGTTAGGTCATAGTTTATTTGTGTATTTCTAAACTCAATCCAAACCAATCCTTGAAAAATTGATCCTTGTCTCAGCGTTAAACACACACTGTCACATTTATAATAGTAGTCTAATTAGATTAATCTCTTTATTATTTTCCTTGTGTTAATCAAATTAATAACTTTATTTATAACGCCATGAACTTTTAAAATTAGTGAAGTATAAATAAATCGCTTTCACTAGGAATTTCTTCAAATGTCAGCTTTGTCAATTATACCGATTTCTTTAAAGCACTACTTATAGATCTAAATCATGCTAAGTATAAAGGCTCTAGTAGTAAAAATAAGAATATAAAAAATATTTGTGCACGCTAGCTTCTCCAAGTCATTGCCCTGCCTCCATCCGCATTACTCAGCCTACAAACAATAAATTTGAAATAGCGATGCACTTTGTCAAACGAGAATATATTCTACTCTTAAATTTAACATTTTGAGAGTTTTACGTCTTGGCTGCGTCAGTTTTAAGGATTAATGTTGAAAAAATGTCACAGATTATAAACGCACATAATAAACATAGAGCTGATTGCCAAGTAGGATAACCAGAAACAATAAATATGCAGTCCTTGAAGCGTTGTATTTTTAACTGTAACTTGGCTGCAGTAATAAATTGTGAGAATGAACGTGATTGTTGAACCGTACCACAAAATTACACAGAAAAGGCAACCTAATTTTTAGGGATATAAATTTGACGTAGTTTTGATATCAATTTCTCATGTGGGTCAAGGCGATTTATTTTTAAAAGAAAGATTTATTTACAATATTTATAAATGAATGTAGCTTTTTATGGCATAAGTGGCTTCTGCGTCACGGTTCATCTTTGTCTAAGTAAGTTACATTCAAGTGTTGTTTGAAATAACATTTTACAACCCATTTATAAAGCAGTAAAACTCATTAACAATTCAAAAAATAATTTTGAGATTGGGAATACTTAAAAATATAAAAAAAAAACAATTCTTAATTACTTTATAACAAGTAAAAACTTGGTATACATTTTTTTCATTATTACATCCAAATAAAAAAAATCCTTTACAAACAAACATCTTTAATACTTATTATAATTATCATGAAATTAAAAAACATATCGTAAAAAGTATTTATAGCAATTCATAGAGAACGTAAATTCGGCCGCCGGCTCTCGGACTATGTCTGGCAAGAGCCTCTCTCGGTCTACACCTTGGCAACCGCCCAAACGCTATGTTGCATAACTATTTAAGGATGTTATACATATGTACATGATTATTGCTAAGCCAACTTGTCCTCTGGCCTATTTAAAATTAAATGATTCAATAAAAATACTTGGCATGAATTGTTTTTATGGGTTTTTTGCCCCATTATATGTATATGTTAGTATTTTAAAATGATACTTTAATGGAGAGATCCGACAGAATAATATTTGCTTCAGGATATGAAAATTTATACTTAGTTATCATTTGTTTTTACGAGCTCAAAGAACGAAGTAGATACTGATATATAAAAATTTCATAGAAAATATTCTCTGTGTCGCTGTGAAACATATTTTTGATCCGAATTTTGGCTATTGGTTAGTTTTGTAGATAGAATGACTTGTATATTAAAATTAGTACCTTAAATGAGTATCTTCATATTTAAAAATAAGAAGAGGTATATTGTGTTTCTATGTATTCGAATATGCTATATATTATTCCCCGCTTCAGTTTATTTTCATAAATATATAATATAATAAATAATTCTTTTTTTATGGACGCTATCCTGCTTGAGCATTGGCTTTTCGTTTGGCGGCATAATTGATTTTGACCATAAAATAAATACTTTGAGACAAACACAATTTTTTTTAACAAAGTCGGTCCAGTCATTTAGGAACAGTTCATGACACCTACACATACAGAAGTATATATTTACTAGCGGCTCCCACTCGCTTTGCTCGGATTCTTCCCTAGTGAAAAACAAATCTATTCCATGGGAACCGTACATTTTTCCGGGATACAAAGTAGGCTATTTGCTATTCCAGACTATAATCTATCACTGTGTCAAATTTCATCTAGATCCGTTTAACCGTTCTAGCGTGATTGAGTAACAAACATCCATCCATCCAAACTTTCCCATTTATATGCTTGTAAGATATGTTCGGTCAGGATCTCAGGTCAGGTCTCTCAGATCCTCTAGTAATAAAAACTAAAAAAAATCGACTTTCAGGCACTAACATGTAAAAAATAACTAAACGGGGGTTTTCATTTAGAATAGATATCTAATTAAATATTTTCGAAGTCTAAGATACGTAATATACATCACAAATTGATGTATAATATTTTAACTATAATTAGAGTTCATACCTAATCATATTATTAGATATTCATATCTTAAAATATTGTCGGCTGGCACCGACTTCGAAAATATGTGATTAGGTATCTATTCTATATGAAAACCCCCGTTTAGTTATTTTTTACATTTTAGTGCCTGGAAGTCAGTTTTTATTATTTTTTTTAAGTTTTTATTTTCCCTATTAAGTGTAGACGTAATAAGCAATATATAGACGTAATAATAAAATATTCGATTAAACAATTTAAAAAAAATATATATTTATTGTTGGTTTTTTAAAACCACTCCACCGATTTCGATAAAATTTAAATGGGACCATCGGGGAAGTATACCCTTCGAAACAAAAAAAAATCCAAATCGGTTCAGGCATCGTCGAGTAGGTAAACATAGACAAAAAAAAAGATTCCGACGAATTGAGAACCTCCTCCTTTTTGGAAGTCGGTTAAAAACAAAACATCCTAAGCCTTGACTGCAGCGCCATCTACCGGTCTAGTTGTGAATCTAAACGATTATAAATTTAAGTTGAATTTGTAGAAGTAGGTACTGTACGCATTTTGATATGGGGCTTACCAATAGAAAAACATAGGTATTATCTAAAAAGATTATGATATGAGCTATAATTTATAAACAATCGTCTAGTCTTCTGTCTATATAAATAATAATGAATGTTTTTATGTTTGTCCTCAATATGTTCATAAACTATTGATCCGATTGTGATGAAACTGACATGAAATAAACAAAAAAAAAGATTTTTCTTTGAATCCTTGTTTTTATGCGTTCCTAAACCATTCAAGCTTAGAGATGCACCCGATACGCACGCAAGGCTAAGTCGCTAGTATAAAATACAAGTGAGTACATTTAGAAGCAAACATTACCGATATTTGTCCGAACGCCTTTAGTTGTATGGTTATTTTATTGAAGCTTAGCGTTATTGCCATAGTAATCAGTAAATATCCCAATATCATTCTAATAATCTTATACAATCTACTTGTACTTCAATAAATTTATTGATTTATTTATTCATATCTAAACTATTTCAGATATTTAAATCAAATTAAGTATTTGGACCTATTTCTTATATTAACAACTAAAGGCTCACCATCGCTTCGCTCGGGTATGTCGCTAGGTACGTTTTAATTAGATATAAATAGCTATTAGCCAGCGTTAGCCATATAAATTTTAATTTTTTTTTCGTTAATTTTTCATTTTTTCTCTGTATTAAAACCTTTCGTGGGCCTTAAGGAACATACGAAAAATTTTTTTGCCGAATTGGTCCAGTCATTCTTGAGTTATGCAAATATTTCTTAAATACAAATATCTCTTGTGCAGTATTTGGCTTTTTTATCTTTTCTATCTTTTTAAATCTTTACATTATGTACGCTATGCTCGTAGAGAAATACTCATAATAATCTCTAAATAGTTAATTTGCTGGTTTGGGTAATATAGGATAGAAAAAGAACCACTAGAAGAGAAAGAACCACTGTTGAAGATACGTTTAGCTCAGTTTGTAGCGTAGAGAAATACTCATAATAATCTCTAAATAGTTAATTTGCTGGTTTGGGTAATATAGGATAGAAAAAGAACCACTAGAAGAGAAAGAACCACTGTTGAAGATACGTTTAGCTCAGTTTGTACTGTCGTGCTTCCTGTGCCAGCGGTCGCAGGTTCGAGTTCCGCTGGGGGCATTCATTTGTGTGATGAGCACGAATGTTTGTACTCCTGCATGTTGTTGTGTATATATTTATAATAATATGGATTTAATAATATTAAAGTTATGCATGTGTAGTGTATCAACTATTTGGTATCCATAACACAAGCCTTGTTCGTAGCTTACCATGGAACTAGATGGCGCTGTGTGTTATTGTCCCAACATATTTATTTTATTTATTTACTGTTTTTACTCTATCTATCTACGGTAAAAGTGCTAGAAGATAATTTGTTATCGGCTCAGTTTAGACGACTCTCTTTTTGTGTTTTTTGCTCGATCTTTGCATATTGTGAAACGATTTTCATGATTATTATATTACCTACTACACCCATACTAATATTATAAATGCGAAAGTAACTCTATCTTTTACCTTTTCACGCCTGACCGCTGAACTTATTTCGATAAAACTTGGCAAGGATAAAATTGCATCCTAGGGATGGGCCTAGGCTTCCTTTGATTCCTGGCCCACTTACCACGTTTTCTTTAAGGCTTGACACATAATTATTATCGAGAAAAATAATTGTCCTTTTTATTTAAAAATAACTATAACGTTTAATTTTATAGTAACTTAAAATAAATATTAATTAAAAATATTACAAGTTATTACTTACATTTTCATTGGAGTGGCGAAATTTTCTTCATCAAATCCAAGTTCTTTGACAATGGATTCCTGTAAAATACAGTAGTTAACTTTATATATACAATAGTAAAATAGTTAAATACATGGAAATTGTATATAAATCATATTACAAAATCTTCTTTAAATATGATTTGTACTATATATAGTAAATTAAGTTAAAATAATAAGGAAAGGATATAGGATAATAAGGAATTAAAAAAAATAACAAATTTTGAAATTACAGTTGAGTCCTCTAAGCAGTTAATCATTTTATAAAAAATTGTGTTGGCCCAGTGGTCGAAATTCGAGCATAATTACCATTGAAAATTTGAGGAAAACATATAATTTGAATAGAATTTACCTATCTATGTCAAAAAACTCTGTTTTCAATTTTTTTATTGATATCTAAAGTTCGTCTATAGCTACTAAACAAAATAAAAAAAAACGGTTGACAAGCAGAGGAGAAAAAGACACTGAACTGCTTTGACTTTGCCTATTTATATAGCTACAAACATTCGTATAAGACCGAATATTTGTATACCTTCATAAAAAAACTAGCACTAAAAAAATAACTAAGTAATATTTATTTTGACACGAAAGATTATTATCAAAATTATTAAGATATTTTTGATAAAATTTATGATAATACGTTTATAAACTAGATATTTAGAACGTACAACGTTTGATTATTTTTTTCTTATTATACTTCTGTAGAGGGGTGGTTGTTGTCATTGTATATCAAGGAAAACTATGTCGTAAGCATAATTTATGTCACATTGTTGGGAATTTTGGTAAATTTATGATGAACTGAAGATTATTGTGATAGAAGTTACTTGGTTTTATTAAATACTAGCGACTGAACCTCGCTTCGCTCGGGTTACGGTTGGGTTTTAACGTTTAGTATACATTTCTCAAAGACGAGATATTTTCCTGGAATAAAAAGTATCCTGCATATATGTTCACCCGGATAATCAGCTATTATCATATCGAATTTCATCAAAATCTGACCAGTGGTTTTCTCTTGATACGGTCACAGACAGATAGAGACAAAAATTCTAAAAACTATAGATTCGGCCTCTGTATCGCTAATAATGACTATTTCAATAATATTTTCCAAAAAATATTCAATGTACAGATTCGACTCACTTAGAATTTTGTTATACGAGTATGTAGGTACCTAAAGATAAATACAGTAAGTAGGGAAATACTAATTAGGAGCTCATTTTATACATCAAATTACATTTTTATACATATATTAGTAATGTAAGAAATCGGTATTTCTTAAATTAATTCATAAATACAATTTTATTGATTAACTAGCGACTTACCCTTTCTTCGCTCGGGTGTGTCCCTAGGTACGTTTTTTTAGCGGAATCCTAATTATTTTTTGAAATATGAATACTAGCCTAAGTTACTCCTTATAAAATCAAGGGTATGTCAGTGAAAGTCCTGTTAAAATCAGTCTAGCCGTTTCCGAAATTAGCCGGAACAAACAGACAGATAGGTACACAGATAAAATTAAAAAAAAAAAGTTTTTCTTATAAGTATTATATATAATCGCATATGCATTTAGTAAAATGCTGTTATTTTGACATTACAAATAGACACTTCAATTTTATTTATCTGTATAATCTGACACGCATAGCCGCGAAAGATAACAAGGAAAAAGCCTTTACGCTATATATATAGATAAAAAATCATCTAGATCTTTTCACGTTTTAAGTTTTTAAATACTTTGCTTTAAAGTTAAAGTTTCGAAATTATTATACCAAAACTATAACTGAAATTATTCTAAACTTTAAAAACTTGAATCATAAAATGTTATACTTACATTAATTATGCCATCCAAAATATATACGGAAAAGCTAAAAAATCCATCTGAAATCATACTTATTACGAATTCTAAAAATATAAGTATAGCTGCATATTATAATAAAATTATAATAAGTTATTATAATCTAAAATGAGTCATTTCGCCTTTAAATTGAGGTAAAATAAATATTTCTATAAATAGTAACATTTCTTATAGTTTCAATAGTCGCTGCAATTTATTTCAATAAATTAAAAAATATGTGAGTTGACAGCGTAATTTGGTGAAAAGATAAAAATAGCGAAAAAAAACTCTTGACTAAAATTGGATATTTCATAACAAATCTTTTAGCTTATAACATGTTTCACTGTAATTATTCTAAATTAACTTAAAATATAATAACTTAATAGTACGAAGAATATAAAACTTAGTAAATAGTCTTAATTATATAAATAATTTAAAAAAATACAAAATAATAAATACCCAATGAATAAGCAGCCACTAATTCAAGGGGTATCATTATTAGAAAATAAATAAAACTTAAGGTAGGAAGTTGTAACAAATATTTAAAAAAACATTAATAATAAAATATCAAATTAGAACAACTTTTTTAATATATGGGATAAAGCAATTATTTACTAAGTAGAAAAAGATAACAACTGACAAGACTGTTATTTTCCAATGTCATATATTTTTTAACCTATGTAATAGATATGAGATCATATTATAATCGTTGTTAAAATTTATTTCCTGCTAGGTAATATCTGTTTGTCTGTACATATAATTAATATTAAATTACTTTAAAGGAAACAATAGGTGGATCCAAAGTTAATAATATTATGTATATTTTTTGACTTATTTAAATAAAATCTGCGTAAAACCACGGGTCAAGCCTAGTAATAAATAATATTAACATTCATCGTGTACGAGCCTAGACTTAAAATTACCTAGACGATGATCTTGCAAATTCAAACCAACTAAGGTTGCCAAACTGAATATTAGCTCAAAGGTCGCGACCTTAAGTCCTTCAGATCAGCATGTTACAGACATACATGTGTGAATGGAGTAGATATATCTGTAGTACATTTTTAACTATTTAAAATAACATCCTATTAAGAAAAGAACAATAATACATAAAAAATACGACTTTGCTAAGTAAGTTTTATATAAAGTACTACCAAAAATAATAACAAGGTAATATAGTGGCAACCCTATCACAATATAGGTCATAAGCTAGATAAGTAAAATGCCTAACATGTGCCTAATAGGTTTTACGCATGTAACCTCAGTACATTGAGGTCGATGAAAATATCTGATGAAATAAAGCGATTACATCATTGTACTGATAGATTGACAGTTTTTTACATTAGCTCTACTGTCACTTTCGATATCGTTAACGTTTACGAGACGATAGAGATGATAGATAACATATATATTGGCGTGGAGTTTCATATTAGTTTTTAGAAACAGTTTTTTTGTTTTAGTGTGTAAGTATTTAGATTGATAATAATTATTGGACTTGTTTTATTTTTCTACAATAACTAACAATGCTGGTATATAATGTAGGATGGACTCAATTTTCAGCACTTAAACTCTAGGTTGGACCTTTGTGCGTCATGCTAGTATATAATTGTATCTATTTTTTTTATTATGCACTCATACCAGCGCAAATAAAAGTTTGAAAGATTCTTGAAATATCGTTGTATTTTAGACTTTAGATTCATTATAATCCAATTTAGTCGAGGTTTTAACTTAGAGGGTCTAAAATTCGTTTTTAACTTACTTATTATGTTATAATTCTAACTCATCATTCAATTGCAGCAACTATTTAATTGCCATAAAAAATTAAAACAAAAATATCCTTATTTATATTATCGAGATTCTTTTTAATATATTGCTTATCTGTTTTAAAGGCAAATTCGAACAGCGCTTTCAGGCACCTTTTCAGTCAACATTGTGTAGCGCAGGAATCAAATACACTTCAAAACCCAGATACTAAAACTATATTATTTTATGATATGAAACGAGATGTTGATAAAGTATATCATAATTATGGTGGAAGTCTTTATATATATATATATATATATATATATATATATATATATATATATATATATATATTTTCCAACAAAAATAATATAAATCACCATAAAACTATAAGCGCTTAAGGTTTTTGTTATATAAAAATATAGTAATATTTACATTTTCATATGTTCTTTGTAATTATACCTCTATGTGCTATAGCGATTATTTCTCGCATGCTTTGCTCCACTTCTGGCAGGCGCTCGGGCCGCGGGTCGGCCGCTCTCGCCAATATCTGCCTCACAACGTCACGAGGGGGTGCTCCCAGTGGAGTAGGTCGGGATGATAGACCCAGCTGAAATATGATGGGGATAAGTGGGTGATAGAGACCTTCACTCAGAATAAAAACACAGAATAAAAAAAAGAAACAAAAAAAAAAGACAGAAATGGTTACGGATTTATTCGCCGATTTTTTCTTAATATTGCGACCATGATTGCTGTAAAACATTTAAAACGTCGAGAGCCAAAAAACAAAATAAATCTGCGAAAAAACCCGAAAAGATGGTTACGAGTTTGAGTACATTTCATGTTATATATAGGTACAGTCTACATACATACATGATATATGGATTTCCATCCTTACCTACTCATATTAATGTGACAGTTGACGATTCAAAAGTACTTGTACTCGTAATTAGTCTAATTGAATAAAATTTATTTCATTTCATTACAGTGTTGTTTTTTAGTAATATTTTTTATAGAATTAATGCTCATAGACTGATGTTGTGACTCAATTTTAAAAATAACTTCATAGACAAGCTTATGCTAATAATAAAATTAGTCTAACCAAGGAACAGTGGATCTATAGCTGTAGGTACCAAGACACAAGCCATTAGATCAACCAGGCAGTAAAATTATCCGTATACGCATTATGAGAATTTGTCTTGAAATATGAGTATACATAATTTTCGTTAGTACAAGATTACGGATAAAATATATTTATATAACGAGTTTGTGAGTTTGTGAGATTGTGACATTGTAGGGGGTAATCTCTGGATTTACTGAACTGATTTAGATGAAATTTCGTAAGAAGATAATTTGAGACCCTACTAAGGATACTTTGTATCCCGGAAATCATCTCTTAAAGCTAATTTAAGCAATAATCGAAGTAATGGAAAGCAACAGCCGTAAACATTTTTAGTATTTATAAGTAATAGCTCAGTTCAAAGGAAATATATGTCGTTATTTCATGTATAGATCGGCATATAAAATACGAGCGACCAACTATATACAATACAGTCTACTTATGTACAATAGAATAAACTTTATTTACGACGTACACTTCTAAAAGCTAGCAGAAGAAACATATCCAGCGTATTCTTTTATATTTTTTTGCATACACTCTTCATGTCCCAGAACTATTTAATACAATGGGATATTAGTACAATATTAGATTAATACTTTCTTAGATTTTCGCGAATATTTGACATTTTAAATAAAATAATGTTTTCGGATTTTTCGCAGATTTTATGGGTGCTGTTCCGTAATAACTATATAATGATCTTTGAGAAGTCTTAAACCTTAGTATTTTCCGTGACCATGATTGATTTGAAGCATTCGAAACGTCAGGAACCAAAAATCAAAATACCTACCTACTTGTTAAAATATAGTTGAAAAGATAGTTTTATTTAAAATGTCAAATATCCGCGTAAATCTAAGAAAGTATTATTTGAGATCCGGGATTTGAACCCGCTTCACTAAGTTTACCTCTAGGCTACCATTTTCGGAGTTATACATCATTTATCAGTAATATTACCTTGGCTAATATTTGTGTTTTGATGTGGTCTAGCCGTGGGTCGGGTCTGTGCGAGGCGGCTCGCGGCCGGCCGGCGAGCGCGAGCGCCGCACACAGGAGGAGGCAGGCGCGCATGGGCGCCTAGCCGAGCGCGCTCAGCCAGCGCCATCTGCACCGCGCCCGAGCGACATCTCCGTGCCTGGAGACAAATTGGTAATCTATATATCTTGACACGTTTGGATCAGTTTGTAGTGACCCTACTTGCTGTGCCAGCGGTCACAGGTTTGATTCCCGCTGGGGCCAAACATTCGTGCTTATCCCACAAATGAATGACCTACAAACTGCAAAAACTTATCTAAATACAAAATTTGATCCAATTCGTTCGCCGTTTACGAGATACACGCATTAAATTTATATATGTAGTATATAGTATATACTTACAAGAATTGCTCATTTAAATTTTAATATTACAAGATATCAATAAAATAGTACGGGAAAGGACTATACACAGTTTGAGGACAACCAAATCATAAAACAAATGTTAATAAGAAAAAGTACGTATCTCTGAACCGTTAAGAAGTTAAACAGATGTGTCCGACTGTAAACTAAGAAGTTTTCAATTACTTCAATAAAATGCTGTAACCCAGATTCTTTATGACCGCAATCAATTTTTTTAGTGTACGAGAGGAATTTTTAATTTATATGTCTTTGTTATTGTCAACTTTATAACATTACTAGCATTGCCCGCGGCTCCGCCCGCGGTCAGATGACCAAAAAGCAAATTCTTAGGTTTTACATATTGGTATACTCTTACATTGCAGTTTTTGTATTTTTTCTCAGAAATGAGACATTTTCCCGCGGTAAGAACTATCTTATATGTTGACCCAGATAGCCCGCTATCACCATACCAAATTTAATCAAATTCCCTCCGGTAGTTTTTCTGTGAAGCGGTAACAGACAGATAGACAGACAGACAAAAGTTCTAAAACTATAGATTCGGCCTCTGTTTCGATAATAATGACTATTTCAATAATATTTTCCAAAAAATATTAAATGTACAGATTCGATTCAGTTAGAATTTTATTATATGTATAGAGTATAGATATATAGAAGTACAGGAACCCTAAGTAAAAAGAAATCCGTGGTACACTCATGCAAAAGATCACTATCATGCGTCGTGGTCTTATAGGTACTGCTAGAAGAATCTAGTCAAGGACTATTTTGTACTCTGTCTACGTACAAATATCGAACCCAGAATCATCAACGGTGTTAACAGTGCTTACTTTTACGCCATTTAATCATAATATTATTTCTGAGTTTATATCTAAGATTTGAAGTAAGGATTTCTTTTATTAAATTCCTAAGTACGGCAAAACAATTTTTAGAATGACTTCCGTTACAATTTACAATAAAACTGACATTTATTATTACGTAGGTTGGGGGAAGTTAACCCTAGTGCGTGTGGTACAAGTAAAGGGCGCTCAACTGGCACACTTTGAAGCCATTAAAAAAATTGAAGTAAAGGGCTTATACTTTTTATATTAGTATTTCAATATATTTATTATTGTATATTATAGAAATATTTTTCAGGGGGTCCGTTCGCGTTGAAAATTCCCATCGGTATCAAACTTCACAAGATTACCTACTGGAGTAATGGGATAATCTGAAAATTGCTTGAAAATTTATTAAAATATAGAACATAAGCAAACGTCTCGACATTATAATTAAAAGCATATACGTATAGTATATATGTACAATTGGCTCAAACAAAAAAAAAATCACTAAGAAATAACTGTTAGAATTTTAAAGATCTATCCAGAGGTACACACGCATACGCTTATATGGAGAAATTATTTTTTGTAATCGCGCAATTACATAATTATATGAAATGAAAATCTGAATAGAGAAGTGAAATAATTGCAAATTGTAAGTACGACTCTAATAGGTTTTTGTTATTGGTTAATTCAATTTATTTTAAAATTGAACCTGTCACCACCCACACAGTGGTTAATCCCTCCACGACCGCGGACTCGCCGGCGTTACAGTTAACAATAGATTTCTTAGAAATTTAATTACTTTCTTAGAAATTTACCTGGAGGTGATAAAACCATTAACACCACCACGATGATATCATCTGTTTTAAACTATTAGCAATGTTTAAAAAAACAAAAATATAAATATTGTGTCAATAAATCGCTCGTCGCTCATAGCTTTCGATCGACCACACAACTTCCGCCCGTGTTCATGGTTCATATGAATTATGAAGTTCACCTGTTAAGTGAGGTCTTAGCCTAATAACTTGTGGTTACACCAGATGTTTTAGTCTATAATTCAAATACGAAATATTCATTAATCTATAAATACAAATAAATAAAATTGAATTGTCTGTTTGTAATTTCAAAATAGCAGCTTTTTACAAAATGCATAGGTATGAAAGTATATACGGTACTAATAAGAAAAAAACACTATTTTTAAAAATGTTGCCTGTATGTCTATTTGTTCTGGCTAATCTCCGAATCGGCTAGACTTATTTTGCCGGAACTTTCATTGGCAGATAGCTTATGTTCAAATGAGTAACTTAGGCTACTTTTATTTTAGAAAAAGAATTAGAGTTCCGCTCAAAAAACTTAAAAGTTACCTAGTAGTGTGAAGCGTGTGAAGTTGCTAGTATTATTCAAATAAATCCGTCAAGCCTTCCAGTTTCCTGTATTTATAATATGTCTTATGATGAAATTTAATGTTAATGCAATATATTATTTCTTGCCTTTTTTATTACTCTAATAATATATTATATATGTGATCATTCGGGTGTATGTATGTTTGTTACTTCCTTGAAGGATGTGGATGACATTTAGTACACTGAGATACTGAACTGGAGTAACAAATCTGACTATTGTTAATAAAATTTTCCAAAAAGACGATACCTGTATATAATATTATATACTTAGGGACGAATTCTATCTACAATTAGTAAATCTTTCTTGTTCGGAAAAAAAACGATGTGTTCAAATTTTTTCGCGGCTTTCTTTTGAATCAATCTCAAGAGATAGTTTTAATTTAAAATGTTAAATATTCGCATAAATCTAAGAAATTATTATTCCAAAATAGTATGTAAGAGGACAAAAAATGAAGGCGTTGGTAACCATTACTCCATACAACGAGCATCTCCTATTACTAGCGAAACTCGCGAACGAATAGATTTATTTAAATAAATATTACATATTATTTATTTAAAATTCAACTATAAAACATCAAAATTATAAAAGTTACCTAAAATTAACAATTAACAAAGTATATTATGGAAAAGTACCTTTGGGGCCATTTTTGTACTTTTGAAAATCTTTATATAATTTTGTGGGCAGGTGTTGTCTGTAACAACAATATAATGACCTAAAACCTTAGTCTCTCTCGTGACCATGATTGTTGTAAAGCATTCGAATACAAGAAGTATTGGTCGTTTGGACAAATAAGCACTAAGGCAGTAATACTTCAAAGTTTTAGGCAGTAAAGATACTTGTATTACTTCTTAAGAGGTACCGTTCAAGCTAATGTAAATGCAGAGTTATATGACCAGTTTATTTTATTTTGCACGAAGGTAACTTTCAACAATCGATTATGCTGCTAGAAAACTATAAATACATGGCAATAATATATTCTGACGTTTTAATGCTTAGACACTGTCACTCTCATTAGATATGTTATATTTCTATGAGCGATAACGATTGTAGATAATAGCTTCACTAAACCCTTTGCTTGATATTTTTATAAGTTTAAAAAGACAACTTTTTCATTTCTTAGGTTTTTGGCTCCCGAAGTTTCAAACGCTTTATAGCAAACACGGGAGAGACTAAAGTTTTTGACGTGTCAAAATTCATAGTTATTACAAACACAACGCCATATTTTTTACATCGTGAGCAAATACGTTAAAATAGTTTCATTTATCCTTCTATATAGAAAAAGTTATACTGGCTTAAAATGACTTAAAAAGCAATTTTCCCGTTCTAAGGCATGGATTTTATTTGGAACTTATATTTAGGGCGGCTTAGGGGACCACTCTCGAGATACAAGCTATTAGAAAAATCATAAAAAATCGGTTCACAATTGTGGAAAATATTACATAATATACACGAATGGACCACCTTTTTGAAATTCCTAAAACAAGTACTAATCATACAAATAGGCAAAGTCAAAACACTTCAGTACCTTTTTTCCCAAAAAGAGATAACTAGGTCAAATTTCAATCACTGGGTGATTAAAAACGTTGTTATTCTATAAATGTGTTACAAATGTATTGTATGGTGACACGAAACTAATGCACAATTCCGTCTCAAACTTGAACCACTCATGATTACAATGGAGTATATTCCCACCACGTTATGTAATTTGGTAAGAATGTAAGGGGTTTGTGCAATGATTGATGACACTGATACTTGTGATATACGGAACAGGGGATGATAAGGGGATGCAAAGGAAACCCACTACCCTAATTTACATCCCTTGTGTCATTCTTATGTGTATACTTATAGAATAGTAAGTACATATATGTATATTTTTGCATACTTTACATTTTTACATAAATAAAATGGATCTTTTCAGAATTTGGTCTTATTATTGAGAATGAAATATATCTACCGTGACCATGTTTGCTGTAAAGCATTCGAAACGTTGGGAACAAAAATATAAAATAAAAGCGCGATCAAATCTGAAAAGATTCGTTTCATTTAAAATGTGTAAATCTAAGAAAGTATTGTGTCAAATTTTGTCAAACACTCGCGTGACTCTAAGAAAGTGTTAATATGCAGTATTTTTAGTCGTATAATTATAATTATTATTTTACTGTTGTTTGATAAATGATAATAATTTCGTATTTTTGCAGAGGAAGTACTTTTAAAAATATTTAGAATAAAATAAAACTTTATTAATAACTTGTTTATGCCCGCGGCTTCACTCGCGTGGTATAAATTTGGGTGGGTATCAAAGGTAGCCTATTTCCGTCCCCAAGATACAATCTATGTCTTTGCCAAATTTTATCGAAATCTGTTCAGCGGTTTAAGTGTGAAAAGGCATTCGAAACGTTGGAAAGAATCAAAATATATCCGCGAAAAAACCGGAAAAGGTAATTTTACTTAAAATGC